TGGATTACCTATGCTACACATGGTCTGTGTCACAAATGGTTTACCTATGGTACACATGGTCTAAATGTGTCACACATGGATTACCTATGGTACACATGGTCTAAATGTGTCACAAATGGTTTACCTATGGTACACATGGTCTAAATGTGTCACACATGGGTTACCTATGGTACACATGATCTAACTGTGTCACAAATGAGTTACCTATAGTACACATGGTCTAAATGTGTCACACATGGATTACCTATGGTACACATGGTCTAACTGTGTCACACATGGATTACCGATGATACACATGGTCTAACTGTGTCACACATGAGCTTCCTATGCTACACAGGGCTACCTGCATCACACATGGGCAAACTTTGTCTTGACACGATTACTAAAATTTATGTCAAGTTATAATCATTCATAATAAACTTATAATTACAGTCTCAACTCATGATTACTCCATAAAAAAATTAATGTCTCTGCAAAAAAATAACATAAACTGACAACCCTATAAATAAAGCATTTTTTTAGCTGGATGATAGAACTAGTGTAATTTTAGCAGCCACATCTTGCGGCATTGAATTGAGTATCTTTTGAAATTCTTCAGGTGACTGTTGTTGAATCCTGCTTATCATATCAACAAGTGCCATCTGTGTATCTGCAAACAATCAACAGTTTTATTTATTATTAATATTTGTCATCAATGAATTGTCACAAAACATGTATTTAATAATAATCTTGCGAGGGTCGGGTCGGGTCGATTTGCAGTTGATAAATAAAAGTGTTCAGTGACGATACTATAATCAGAACAAAATCAGGTGTTGCTTTTCGTATAAATGTGCTGACTTGTACAAAGTATCATAAATATCAAAACTGAGTTGAAAACTTCCATTCCATAGAGATGCATGTGAGGAGATTGTTTCCACATACAGTCTACAATTTATTTGTAAAAATTGTTAAGACCACAAGACTGCAGAGTGTTATAATAATCTGAGTAGTCATTCACGTAAGGTAAGGTTTACCTGGTTGTAAATGCTCGGTTCCCAGG